ATCTTTATATTAGTTTTTTTAGTTTTTCAAAACCGCAAACTGAAATAAATGAATGAGTTATGCCAAGTGTTGATTATTACGCAGCATTGCGGTTTTGAAAAACTAAAAAAATCTTCAATTCTATCAATCCCGCCGGTGGCCGAGTGGAAAAAACAACTGAACACTAATAGTGAGTCGCGCCTCACCAACCGGGTGGCCACGTGGAGTTTTTCGTGTTTAACATCAAAAAGTGATTACTTTCCTCAAAGTACCCCCTTATTGGCAGATCGCCCATGTGTTGCGTTGCCTATACCATTTTTAGACTTTCATTTAAAAACGTAATACGAAATCGATAAATGACAAATATGTTTTTATTTGTATTATTAGTTTTATTCATGTAAATATATGAATAAAACTAAATTTCGTATGGCTTTCGCAGAAGCGTAAGACTCTATGCAGGTTTGGTTTTGATAGAATATGCAAACTAACACATGGGCGATGTACCAAGAGAGATGCCTTTCGAGAGGGCTTTCTTTGAGAAATTGGCCTCTNATAGGTAAACTACAGCAGAATAAAGGAAAGAAAGAATCTATGCAGCTAAGAAAAAACTGCTGGGGGAAAATCGTCTACATAAAGAGAAACAAAGTAAGAAAACAGTAAATAGGTCTAAATCAGTTCAAGAAAAGAGAGATCAAGAGACTCACTACATCATCTGTGGTGAAACCTTTGAAAAAGACTAAAAACAGTGTATTGTGAAGGTTGGGCTCACGAAAATTGCGCTGATCTTGAAGAAAACAAATATTTTTATTAATGTAATGTTTTCATTGCCAAAAAAATAAACACAAAATGCATTTGTCAAATTGTTAAATTTTCAGACTGATAATTTAAAAAAATTTTCTCATTTGTACCACTTTCTTATCATGTAATAACTTAGTTTTACGATCTGTAATTGTACTTTTATAAATATCTCAATAATAACACTGCCTAATAATAAAAAGTTGTTTGTGAAACCAAAAGTAATTCTCTTCTTACAGATTTTTCTCATGTCCGAAACAACCTTCCAAAATTAAACTTGGTAAAAATGTAATGACTAAAAAGTGTAAAAAAATTATTAATTTTTTTATCCTAAAAAATGAGTTTTAACAGGCGTTTTTATAAGACAATGAAGTTGTGTTTGGAATGTAATCTGGACCAATTGAGCTGTAAAATTTTTTTATAATATAAGAGTGGTTTAGGTGTGCGGTACTACCGACCTTTCCCTATGCAATTAATAGAAAAATTATAAACGGGATCTGAAAGAACTAATTACTAGAAAACATTCGTTAAGTCGTAATTTGAACTCTAATTTCCCGTAGTCTACCATACATTAAGTTCTATTATCAGAAATGTATATTATGAAATGAAATCTTCAATTCTCTTTCATATTTCGAAACCGTATTGTATCTTTATATTAGTTTTTTTAGTTTTTCAAAACCGCAAACTGAAATAAATGAATGAGTTATGCCAAGTGTTGATTATTACGCAGCATTGCGGTTTTGAAAAACTAAAAAAATCTTCAATTCTATCAATCCCGCCGGTGGCCGAGTGGGAAAAACAACTGAACACTAATAGTGAGTCGCGCCTCACCAACCGGGTGGCCACGTGGAGTTTTTCGTGTTTAACATCAAAAAGTGATTACTTTCCTCAAAGTACTCCCTTATTGGCAGATCGCCCATGTGTTGCGTTGCCTATACCATTTTTAGACTTTCATTTAAAAACGTAATACGAAATCGATAAATGACAAATATGTTTTTATTTGTATTATTAGTTTTATTCATGTAAATATATGAATAAAACTAAATTTCGTATGGCTTTCGCAGAAGCGTAAGACTCTATGCAGGTTTGGTTTTGATAGAATATGCAAACTAACACATGGGCGATGTACCAAGAGAGATGCCTTTCGAGAGGGCTTTCTTTGAGAAATTTGCCTCTATTTAAGTGTTAGATACGTGAAGAAAATACGGAAAACTCCACGCAGCTAACCCATTGGTCGGGTACGATTCCGCGGTAACTACCAGTGTTCAGTCGTTTTATCCACTCGACCACTGCTGGGTCTCTACAGAGGATTTCATAAGTCAAGCACCATATGCAAAATAGCTTTTTAGATATGTTTGATGTGATTACCATTCTGTTGTACACGGAGATTCAGACTGGTAATCCAATTATTCCACACATCTTGCAAGATGTCACGTTTAACATTAGTGTGATTCTGGTTCTAAAATGGGCATGTGACACATGATCTGTTCATAAACGAGCGCCTTCGAGTGACTCATAGATAAAAGTGTTACATTGGGACTAAGTGGGAGCCATTTAATAGACCCACGTCGACCGACGTTCAAATATGTCTTCATGTAACCAGTACGTGACTTATGGAACTTCCTATATATTTGTGACTGGTTGAGTTCTATTTGTCTCGCTCAGAATTCATGTGTATATGTTACCGCTAAAGCTCGAAATCCGTTAATGTGTACATTACCTAGCTAATCTGCAGATTAACTAGGGTGATCTGTTAAAGCTGCGAAAATTGTTCAATTTCTCAAATTACCTAGGTAATGTTCAGATTATCTAGGTAATCTGCACATTAACGGCTTCCGTATCGTTAAAGTTCAAAAGTTTGTTTCTTTCACTTCCTTTCCCCACTCCTTCTTTTTACGTAGATAAATTTAAATCCTAGAATGCAAGCAAGCACCGAATTGGTGAGTAAAATCAAGAAAAGATTCTTCGCAAACC